TATGACACTCATCACTTGTGATCCTAGGGACTGATCTTTAGAACCACTATGCTCATCACTATACTTGTGGGAAGAGTTACTCTTTGACTTTTTTCAAAATACTGTGTAAGAATATTGGGCAGAACTAAGGCCATCATTGAAATTAATTTTTTTTTCAAAGTATTCTAGAAGATGTAGTTTTTAGTTTTCACAGGTTAGCTAAAAGTTTTCGAAATGAGCATTAAGCAATATAATCTACAGAAAATGTAACTGAGAATTTCAGCTTTAAAATATATTCTAAACACTCTTCTTTTAGCTGTAGCTTTTTGTTTTGTTTTGTTTTTGAGTTGAAGTTTCACTCTGTTGCTCAGACTAGAGTGCAGCGGCATGCTCATAGCTACTGCAGCTTCGACCTGCTGGCCTCAAGCAATCCTTCTGTCTCAGCCTTCCAAGTAGCTGGAACCACAGGCGTGCGCCACTATGCCCAGTTAATTTTTTGACTTATGGTAGAGACAAGGTCTCTCCAAGTTGCCCAGGCTGGTCTTGAACCCCTGGGCTCAGGCAGTCCTCTCACCTTGGTCTCCCAAAGTGCTGGGATTACAGGTTTGAGCTACTGCACCCAGCCCTAGTTTTAGCTTTAAAACTATACTTTAAATAATTTTTTTTGCCCTCTCTCCTTCCTCCCTCTAGGCACTCTCTTGTATTGTGATACTTATCTAGCTATATGCTTTCTTAGAAATTCCAGTAGCTAATCTTAGATCAAACCAGGCAGGAAGGCCCATCTGCAGAATTTGCCTTCATTTAGGGTGAGCCTCAAGACAGTTAATCTACAATTCGGTCATAATTAGTCTGGTGACAACCAGGCCTCCAAGAATTCTGGAGGATAATCTTAGAATAAACTAGGCATGGGTCTAGATTATGGAACCCTCTCACCCAAAGGGGTCACATACAATTAATTCACCACCAGGTTGCTGTCCAGATAACAACAGCCAGACAATTGGACAATTACTCAAAATAGTCACTGGAACAAGGACACATACACTCTGTACTCCTATTACACTCCTCCATTGTTTTCATACCAATTTTCCCTTTAAAATCCTCTCTAAACAGCCTAAGAATTTGAGATGGTGCTTGAGACATTAGTCTGACATCTCTTCAAAAAGCCAGGTTCTTGAACAAACTGGTTTTTCTTCCACCAACTCTCCTGTCTCAAGTTTGACTTTGAGCAGCCAGCACCTGGACCTTGGTTCGATTACAGTAACACATTTGAAAAGTAAAAAAATTCCCCACTACCAACAAGGAATCCTGTATCCACTAAAGCTATTTTTCAAAATGGAGAAATAAAGAAATTCCCAGTAAAAGAAAACCCTAGAGTATTTGTTGCTAGCATATACTTCTTAATAGAAATATTAAAGGAAATTCTTAAGGCTAAAAGCAAGCAACCTCAGACAGTAATTTCAATCCCTGTGAAAAACCCAAAAAGTACCAGTAAAAGTAAATATGTAATTTAAAAAGTTAGGAGAAATGAATATTTTGTGTCTATTCTTCTCTTACTTGACTTAAAGAATTATGTGAAATAGTATGCATATAATGTTGTTGAATCTATAACAGATAGAAATATACATGCCAATAGCAGCATCGAAGTGCAGGTGGGAGAAAACCTATTGAACTAAGGAAAGTATATCAGAATGCAACTCAATCCACAGGAATAAATCAAGAGAACTAGAAATGGTAGATAAGATGTTTAATATAGCAAAGATTATAAATATATACTTGGTCTCCTTTTTCTTCCTTTAAAAGACATGACTTTATATAAAATAATAATATAATGTTGGGTTTGTATCATATATAGGTGTAATATATAGAATAATAATAGCATACAAAGGACATAGAACTATATAAGGTAATATTTCTATATCTAACTGGAATTAAGTTTGTAAAAACCTTAAGTAGATTCTGCTAAATTGAGATGTATATAGTAAGCCTTAGAGTAACCATTTAAAAAAATAACAAATGTGGTAAACATATTATTAAAATAATTAATATGCTACATTATAAATTATTAACTTAAAGAAAAAGAGACCAGGAAAGGAGAAATAGGGGAATAAAAAGATATCATGATCACAGGCACTTGGATCATCGGCACCATGGGGCACAAAACTGGTTTCAGGATGTTCTAGAGTGTTTCTTGGAACTAAGACTTTTGACCTCTGCAGAGTTAATTAACTGGAATAGATTGAAGTCAAAAAGTTGTTGGTATATAGACTCTATGCATTTTGTGATTGAAACACTCCATGTTTTGTTTGAAATGACTAGATGTTATTTTTACAGTTATTGTTTTGGTGGTGTTATTATTATTTTTTACATATTTTGTATTCCAGAACTAAACTGATTGCTACAAATTTTTTGAGTTTTTTTCAAGTATCATGTTTGCTACAACAATTTCTATGTGGGAAAAATGCTACATACCAACACAAGCAAGAAAACAATAAAATATGCACAAATAGCTAAATGTTAGTCATGTTTACATGGGGACAGCTTCTTTAGTGAGCTAAGGTGGCTGCCATTGTTCAGTTAGCCACATTTTAAAAGGAATAAACCTGGGAAGACTTTAGATGATGTGATACAAACTGGACAGGCCCAAATTACAAGCAACAATGTACATACTCATTATAGTTAGGCTCCCTTGGCATATGAAGCAGAAGACTTTAGAAGTTAACAAAGCAAATATAGCCAGAAACAAGCTTTACTTATTTCATAGATTGTCAAGGATTAATCTTAAACTCTATTAAGCTTTTGAATAATTAACTAAATCCCTCTGAAACTTCATCCAACATACATTCCTAGAATAAGATCAAAACACACATAATTATGCTTTGGGAATTATACTACTGCTAATTATAAACCTAGATAATAAAAATATAATTGTGCTATATTCTTCACATTTGATAAAAATTTAAAATAACTCTTAAGAAGTATTATAATCCAGTGCTTCTCTTGATGCCATTTGTCATTGCCATAAAAAAAAATTAGATTAGTTTGACAGGGTTTATTCTTCATCTAGGTGTGTTTATTTATAAAATCTAGTCTTTCAGAGCTGAAAAAGGTTTTAATGATTACCAGGTGAAATTGTCATCCTTCTCTAAGGAGAATAAATGTTTTATAAAACTATATAAGTGTAAGTACCACACATTTATATGCCTGTAAATCAGTAAGAAAATGTTATATTTGACTTACCCAGTATAATTACATATTGTTCAATGCAATAGATAGTTTAACAAACACCACCATTATTTTTCAAGATGCTTGCCAAAAAAACATGAATTCAACATTAGTCCAAGAAACTGTAAATCTCAGAAACTTTTAGCTCTTTGTTGGTAAATCTAAGCATTTTAGATTGATATTTTTGATTGTGAGACAGATTATTATCATTAGTAATTAAATATATTAAAAACATATAATTATTACATCCTTTCCAAATTCCATATTCTTTTGGGTCACTTAATTTGACATATATTTAATTTGGTTTATTTCCTCCTTTATAATCAGCTCAAAAATATTAATGTAACATAAATTGGCAAGGCTGAGGTAATATTTTCAATTAAAAAATAGCCCTGGGAATGAAGCAAGAATCAAAATTTGCTATTTCTCATACAAAGGGAGATACTTATGACAAATTTTTTAAAGTCTACATTTAAACAAATTGTTTCTATTCAATAAAAATGCTGAATTTAAAAATGTTTTGTTCCCAAGTTTTTGCAAGTCAGTTTACCACTTACCTTCCATTTGTATTTTTGACTAAAAAAATGACATTTATACCACATCAGGAAAAATACTTTATAAACAAAAAATATAATATCATTTTTCAAGTTTGTAAGCAAAATCAATATATATATTTGACTAAACATAGGTTAAATGCTGCATTTCAAAAAGTGATAAAACAAATATAAATGTAAGCACTAGAAGGAAATTTAGAACAAATATGAGAAAGGCTTTATAGTCACATCAAGTTTAACTGCTTTTATTAGAGTAACCCTGTTCTTTAAAGCATAATCTTGTCTCTAATTATATTTACTTTTTTCAATAAAATAAGACTCTGTGCTATGTTATGCTGAACCTCACTTTCCTGTTGTATAGTATGTTCTTCAAAGGATATCTAAGCAAGATTCCATAACTTCTCTACCATGTTTTTAATTATTAAATAGTCTCTTTCAGTAATTTACCACTCACACTCATTCTTTTTGGAACTTTAATCTCAAATTTAAATTAGGACCTCAATATAAGTGTGACTCTGTAGGCTTCGGGAGAAGTGTGTTTTTCAAATACTTTTTCTTCCATTGTAATCTAAATATTAGCTCCCTGTTTGGTAGGAAAGACAGGCAGTGTTGCAGTCTTCTTTGATTTGTGGTTCTCTGTTGTAGAGCAATTGTGTTTTCTTAGCAAAGGAGACCTAAAACGCTGACCCCTCCTAGCATATTTTCTCTTGTGTTGGTGTCACTTGTTAAATGGACTCTCAGATGAACAAAACTTGCAAAAATTACTCAATGCCACCTGCAATTTTTATGTCCACAAAACCAAGGAAATCCATCCATGTTATCTGAATGCCTCATTCATTCTCTATAATTATTTTTTCCACTGATAATGTGTAGCACATGTAGAGATGAGTAAACTTGCTGATTATGTAATTTCTCACCCAGGAAAACAGGGAAAACATGGCTATAGCCACTTGTATTTCTCCTTTTCAGTTGGCCCTTATAGTTAGTGACCATCAGGATGGTGCAGAAGAGGAAAGGTGATAGGGAATGGGAGAGATGTTGAGGAAGGTTAGCTCTGAGACTATTCAAGCCAGTACAGCATTATTTTTAACAAAAAGCAGAAAATAATCTAAATGCTCAATTCGAAGGTTATCATCAAATAAATTAGAGTAGCTATACAAATGAATTAATCTGTAAAATATCAAAATGATGAAGAATTACATAATGTAATGCAAACAAAATGATTCAAAATTGCATTAAACTCACCATGATCTGGAGGAAATTTTTTCCATTTAAGGAGACCAATTAACTCAGATATGGATAAAGTAGACCATTCTTCATAATAAGGACACTGACGAATTAATTTCAACTTTTGTATATTTTCAAGTTTTCTTTTTTCCTAAAAAATAATGTCATTATCACATTTTTAAAAAAGATAATTTTAAAAGGAAGAATAAATAACAAATATATAAATGACAGAAAAGTAAAATAAAGGATATATAAATATAAATTAGTATAAAATACGTTTGAATTATATTGGTACATCACTCTAATTCCACATTATAATTTTAATCTTCAGGACTACTTACTAAAATTATATTTTTCTACAATTCATGACATTTTATACTTATATAAATATTTTAGTATTTTTGAAACACTTTCATAGTCAAGACTAAACCCAATTGTTGGATTTGATAATATCAGATAAGTGGTACTGATATTTGGGAAATAAAAATAAAACATAAAAATATTTTTTTAAAGCAGTCATTCTGAAAATAAAAACAAGTGGTCGCCAGGAATTTGGAATGAAGTTGAATTCTGAGGAAGTTATCGCCACCATTGACACTGAGACCACCATATCATAAGAAATCCCCACTATTGGAGACCTAAAGCAAGAAGATGAATGTTTTCTCAACTACACCCCACATAAGCACCCAATCATGGTCTATGCTAGTACTCTTCAGGACCTGCACCAGGGCTAGACAGTACTTAAAAAGTATGGAACAGCAGGACCATGGGATCCTTCCAATATCATTATTTATGAAAACATCCTGTGCGACCCAAGGAAGAAGAAATAGAAGAGATGGAAAAATTTGGATTTGATTAGAAGAGAATAACTTATTAAACTGTATGTAAATAAGTTATCTTAAGCAGCAGAATTAGGCGATGATAATTAAATTATCACCTATTCGTGCGGTAAGAGTTTGATGTCTGTTTTAGTTATGAAATATCATGCCAATCACTCCCAAGTATTTTTCCTTCTAGATAGACTATAGAGCTTGGGAAAATAGTGGTACTGCTCTCTGTCTTATCATTCTAGTATTCCTAGCACATGGCATGCTGTGGACACTCAAAACACATTTTTGTTGAGTGAATGAATGGATAAATGAATGAGTTTCAATTAATGAAAAATTAAATGGTACTTAAAGATATACTTAAAGCATATTCATAAAGACCTTTGTTTATACCTCAACTACCCATCACCAGCAGAGGCTTAAGTGATGTTCATCAAATAAGCCACATTGTTTTCAGAGACAAGGTCTCATTATTTTGCCCTGGTTTAAGTGCAGGGGTGAGATCGTACCTCACTGCAGACTCAGACTTCTGGGTTGAGGCTCCTACCTGAGCCTCCCAAGTAAGTGGTTAGGATTTCAGGCATGTACCTCCATGCACAGCTAATTTTTATTTTTTTGTTGTTGTTTTTAATATTTTTGTAGAGACAAGATCTTACTATGCTGCCCAAGCTGGTCTCAAACTCCTGGCCTCAAGGCAATCCTCCCATCTCAACCTACCAAGGTGCTGGAATTACAAGCATGAACCACCACTACACCCAGCCTTAAGCCACATTTCTATGGTCTCTAGGTCAAGTCAAATTTTAAAAGTTAAAAAATATAATATCTTTGTCTAGAGAGGTAAAAATTAGCTTGCGCCTCATCCCATACTATGTTATCCTATAGATGAATTATAGTCATACCGATTTTAACTTTGCATATTCCTTTGCAGGGATTTTAAGAATTTCACAATCATCTTTTGTCACCACTGAGAACACTTGCGTTTCTGATTTAATCTCAGATGTAACTTCCAGGGATCCAAAGGTACTCCATTTTTTAAGCTGTAGAAATACCAAAGGCAACTTAAACTTTATTACCACTCATCAACATAAAACTGCCAGTGAGGATGATAGGAATAGTGTAGAAGAGTCTGCAAAAGGGATAATTGTAGATCAAACTTCACATCTATGAAAGAAGGGGCTCTACACAGTCTTTACATGCATGTCTCCAATTTCTGCCTGATGACACTTCCCCAAGGCAAGAAAAATATTCATTCTTGTTTACCAACACAAAGAAAATGATACAAAAAATATTCTGTTTTATTCACAGATTTATTTTAAGTGCCTAAGATGGTCCTTCACACATAGTAGCCATTCAATAAATATTAATTGAAAGAATGGAAAAAAGATACACTAATATATGGTTCCCTGTTTGTTTTATCAGCATATTTTATATTAAGTAATAATAACCAAAATGAATAGAGGGTTAAATAGTGTAGAAGAAATTGACACATATATTTAAGTATGATCACCTAGTTTATAAGTTTAAATGTTAGCATGGAAAAAAATTTACCACTGGAATGCAAATGATAAGTTTTTAGATTATAATGAAACTACATATATAGTTATATAGGAAATCTATATTAATGTGTGCCTGGGAATGAGGGCATGTGAAGGACAAGAGGCATATTTGTATGAGATATCGAGGAGCTTCTTAGGGAAAACAACAGGTCAATGTGCTCATCTAAGGCAATATGATAGGACTTCCACTTTTCCACTTCAACTCCATAGAAAGTTCATTTATGTATTTGAACTAAAATGTGACTGAGCTTAAAACTGCAAGTCTAGATATATAGAGGAAATTAAAAATGTTAAACAGTCATTGCTGAAGCCAATGTAGGTCCCAGTACTATCAAACAGACCAAGATCCCGAGGGGCTGAGTTCTGGGGCTTGTCATACATGTGGGAACAAGAGATGAGACTAAGCACCATGCAAGATGAGGGACTGGCATTGAACATCCTTGCCTAAAGCCTAGGAACTTGAAGGATTGCCCCAGTTGTGAAATGCAGACAAGAAAAACCACACAGTACCCTATAAAATCTGCATAAAAGCTTGTCTTTCAATCGTGGAACTAAGCAGAGTTGTCACAAAGGGAGGAATCTAGGTTTGCAACTCATGTTAGTGCAGAATATGCATTTACACATCGTACAGGACTCAACGCTGAAAATATAGTGTAGAGCCTGTTACTCTCTGGTAAAATTTCGAGGATCCAGAAAGGTACAAACTCTAAACTTTTTGCATAAATTAGAAGAAAAGAAATTCCCATAGAAATAAATTCCTGCTAATGACAAAATCATGATAAAAACAATTACAAGACATACAATTAAATAAACTTCTATGAAGGAAAGTCAACAAACAAAGAAGCAGAAAAAAAAAAAAGGAACACCTAAAACAAGAAACACACATTTAAAATATTAAAATCAGAGTATAAAATCAGAACATGACATGATGGAAGCAAAAGAGGCATTTGGGAAGATAATAAAATTAAACTTCTATAAATAAGTGTTATTGAAAAAAATGAGTGGACATTAATTTGTAGCTTAAAACTAATTCCCCCCCCCCCCCAAAAAAACCATGGCATGGATAATATACAAGAAAATGATCCACAACAAAATATACTACTAGGTATGGAAACTAGATGGAGACCATTCAGCATAAATCTAACAGAAATTCCAGAAGAAATAAAAAATAATAGGAGAAAAGTAATGCATAAGTGATAATGGCTATACATTTTCCAGAATTGGGAGCAGAGGAGAGTCTTCCAAAGGGAGTGCACAAAATCCAGAGATGCATTGGCATTTTACATTGCTGCCCAGGATTTGGTATATACTCTCTTAGCCTTTCTCCTTTTCCAGATCCCCCTTTATTATCTTGTTGGCTATTAATAATTTCAAGCAGATGTTTTCTGCTTATATTTTTCTAATTTCTCTAGTCATTTTTAATGTGTTAGTGAATTACCTAATAAACTCTTATGAAAGAAGTCTTTCATGATTTGGATAACATTCTGAAAGTTGTATTTCATGACTTATTAACTAAAATCATCAGATAATTAGGGTCAATTGGAAAATTTTATGATTAGGAAATTATAAAACTTAAATACCCTTTACATGCCCAATTATTTTAGTTGAATTATCTGAAAAAATATTAATATTTATAAGATTTCTATTTTGTTCTGCAAATATAGACATCTTAAAAGTGCTCAGGAAAAATAACTTTCTCCCTAGAATATAATACTTCCTTAAAAGAGCAATTTTGTGTGGGTAAAACAAACAAGATATTAATTTTAGACATTATATGAAACAAATTACTAAAAGATGAATTTCAACTAGGACAATACTGAATCCAAAAAGAAGAAATGCAAAGAACTTGATAAAAACATTGGTAGATGCAAATAGCATTATCCATATACAATAATTTTAAGATGACTAATATCCATATAGACATAGATATTTAAATAAAGGTTAAAATGATTTTACAATAGTAACTCAGAAGAGAGAAGCAGGAAGTTCTAGAATTAAAATATTTGAGACTATTTCTATTCTAGGACTAGGAAAGAAAAAATATTATATAGATTTTCTTAGTTCAAATGACAAATTTAATTATATAGAAGTGAATATGAATGAAAAAAGAAGATAAACGCAATGGCAAAAGTAAAGAAGTGAGGGATATTTGCTATGAATCTGGTAAACATAAAGAATAATGTCTCAAATATCTAGCACTTATAATTTGACTTAAGTAATAGAAAACAACAAAAAATTATTATGTAAAAAAGACAGAAATACTGAAAAAAGAAAAACAATTTCTAGAAGAAAAGAACCAAATGACTCACACACAAAGTAAACATTCTCACATTCACTAGAAATCAAAAAAGTGTAATTACAGTCATAATGCTACAAGGCCACATGTTTTTTTAATCCACTGGATTGAAATATTGTATTAAACTACTATAACCTATGGGACTGGTAAAATACTTTAACACATAACTCCAGAGATTGTAAAGCCTTTTTTTAAAGATGAGAAATTATCTGGCAATATCTATTAAAATAAAGAAAAAATACACACAATATCTTATCCAGAAATCTACCCTTTAGGAATCTACCATATAGAAATAAATGCATTTTTAAGAATATATTCACAATAAGTATATTGTAGCTATATATATGTGTGTATATATGTATTATATATGTGTGTATATATATCTATATTTATGTGAAACCAAGTCTAACTTGATGTACAACGTTTATACTATGGAGACATAATTAAACCATGTCTTTTAATGTTTTAACATACTATAAATATTTAGTGACATCTATGTATCTTAGCCTGAATAAATTATTATAATAAAAAAAAACAAGTAGCAGGTGAAAATGCATATACAAATTTTTATAAAATAATAATAAATTGTATAAAAAGTTCTTAAGGTGCAATTACAAAAAAGTTATTCAGATAAGTAATCTATGTAATATTAATTGATTGTAATTAATATATGTAATTGATTGTTTGCTAGAGTCAATTCAGAAGATGATGTGCCAGTGGACATACCAGGTTGATGATGTTCTTATGTTCAGTAAATAAAGGTGGAGATAAAATGGCAGAAGCTTTATTAATATTTTTTTCAAATTTCCTTATCTTTTTTTAAAGATAATAGGAAGTATATATTAAATTTGAACATCTTAACACTTTTAAAAACATTTTACAATGCAACTTCAAATAGCATGCTGTTATTTTTTTATACATGTGTTATCTCTCTTGATACCTTTAACTGATGCATAACATACCTTAAATGATATACATCAGATGATTTCAGTTATTCTCTCTGATAACTACAGATAATTATTATGGTTTACTTTATATTTAAAAATTTTTCAATATAGAGAGCAGTTTTTAAATCAGGCAACACTTGCTATATAAATTATTTATAGCTCAATCTTTCTCAATTTTTCAGAAACGTAATTTATTAAGACTGTGTATATAACCCTATGCTGATGGGGATAGTTGGTGGAGGTACACAAAAGGAACCGTTTCTCTCACTTCTAAATTCTCATGTTATTTTACTGAAAAATGAATTGCTAACTAAATTTATTGAAAATTCATGCAATACCATGCTGAAGAATTTTTAAACTGCTATGATATTATATGACCCAAGCAATCTGTCTCTGAATAAGAATTGGTAAAAGTTTTCTTTTGCATAACATTATGTTGAAATTTGTTTTTCGCTGCATTTTACAAAAATAAACTTTCCTAAAAAACAAAACTATTTTATTGGTATAATTTTTGTCCTCATTTTTTCTATATTTTTTAGCTTCTAGGCATGTACACATTAAGCAAGATCAATAGCTAAAATTAGAGCTGCTATTTTTAAACCAAGGAAAGGTCTTGTTCTAAGCCCTAGGAAACATATTTTCTTTTTGCTAAGGGGATGAAGAGGCAGCCAGAAAACACAAAGCTTCTCTTGATCAGGTGCCCATAATCTAGTCAATAGATGAACTTCTATTCGAACTCCTAACATATTATGCCACAATTTGTGATAATTTGTAAATTTCCATTTTTCTTGCATGAGTTTCTATAGTTTTCATTGTATTCTCAAAATTCTCTGTGTCTCCAAAGAAGATTAATAAGCATTGATCCAGATACAAAAATGTTACAATTTTCCAAGTTAGAAAGATGTTGTATTTTATAATATTTCACATACTTAGAAAGAATTTGGCCATAATATATCATATTAGGGATATATTTGGAAGACAGAAGTAAGGACTAACTGGATGTGAGTACCATCTAATTGGGACCTAATACAGTCCATTGACTGAAGGAGTGGCCTGAGTGTTTAAATAGGAATTTTCAGAATATATTTATTTCAAACCTGTATGTAGTATCAAAAGAAAAAAAAGCCTTTTTAGTTATAGAAAAAGAATTAGTCTTTCAGCATTATTCAAATAACATGCATTAAGTAAAACCTAGAAATCATTTTGTTGATAACAGCTTATCTGAATTCTATTCAGTT